GCACGAATTTTAAATAATTTCAACATACACATATACATACATACATACATACATATGTTTAAAAAAGTTTTTAAATACACACACACACACACATTTATATAAACATAATATACATAAGTCTTAAAATAACTCAAGCACAAATACATATATGTAATTAATACATCTTCCCCTCTTAAACTTTTAATCAAAGTTTATTTAGTGTTTAATTAAAATAATTTAATTATATGGATAAAGTTCACTAAAATTATTTTAATTAATTATTTGAGAGAATTATTAATTGTTTAAATTAAATTGTCATTTAGCTATTTAATTTGTTTAGTAAATTGGTTTAGTGTTTAAATGTATTATCAATGTTTTGATTAAAGTTATTATTATTAATTGATTCAAATGTCAATTAATTTAATTATTACTTAGTGAACTAGTTGATTATGATATTAATTACTTGATTAATATATTAATTAGATAAACATATTAATTGGTTAAATTAGATATTAATTAATTAGTTTCTTTAAGTATTTAATTAAGTGGTTTGATAGTTTATTTGGATTATTGATATTTTAATTAATTAATATAATGGATTAAAGGCTTGATTAAGGGTATATTAGATAAATTAATAAAGGATTAAGATGTGAGGCTTTCGCATAATAGATTTTAAGGACTATTAGACTTCAATTAGGTTGATTAAAAGGTAATTAAAGATGTTTAAAGTGATTGTAAGCGAATTTAATTGATGAAAGTTTCAGCCAAGGAAAAAAACAAGGAAAAGGGCTCAGTTTTTGGGATTTTGGTGGATTAACATGTTCATTTTGATGAGTTAGAAGAGATAGAATAATTAATTACTTAATACAAGTGTAAAAATATAAAAACCTATGAATAATTCACTCAATACATATGGTTTAACATAAGACATGCATATGAAATAAAATATAGGATTTCACAAAGATCATGCATATAGATCATGGTTTGAACATGTAAGAAACATAAACATATAAACCATATGAGCTAACATTAAACATGTATGTTAGAATATAACAAGATTAAAATCCCTATGAACTAAATATGATATGCGATGAACATATTTTGATTTTGACAATTTAAACAAGTAAGCATGTTAATTTCATGGACAAATACCTCAAAAATATGTAATAATGCAATTAAAAGAATTGACATATGATTTATGCATGAAATATTTTAGTTTTCCTAAATAATATGGAAATGCACGTGGAACTTGCATTAAAACATCACTAGAATAAATAAAACACAATAGAAGTGAAAGCCCACCCTAAGTAAACTTTATGAAAAACATATATGTATTTTAGGTTTTAGTGAAATTCTAGCGAAAACACATTGATTCTTACGTTAAAAAATATAGAATTATGCTTTAAAAGGCTTAGGGTGAGATAATAAGGAATGCCCTTTGAATTGCATGAAAAACTTGAAGAATTTTCATACAATTGCTCTGAATTTTATTTGCTTTGTATGAAAAATTTGACGAATTCTTCAAGCTCCCGATTTTGTTTGGGGACAAGAAATCTTTTTAAAGAAACGATGAAGAAAAGATAATTGGATTTTGAGAATAGGAAAACAAGAATATGAATTCAAAATTTGGGCTGTAGGAGGCCAAAATTTGGGAAACAAGAGAAAGGGAGAAGAATCCCTTTCTCTTGTTTTATCCTTTGGTTTTTCATGTGAGAAGAAGAAAAGTTTCAAGAAAAACCAATGAAAGAAGAGGGATTTGCCTTGGAAATTGAAGAGGAATTCAATTCTCTACTATAGTTGCGTCAGAAAATGGGTAAAATGGGTTATAGCTGGGTAATAAGAAGTAGTGGGGTGGTTTTGGACGATTTTTTAGAGGTAGTTGGGCGATTTGGATGGTGAGGATGAAAGTAAAGGTTTTTATTTAAATTCGATAACTAAGATTGCTCCATAGGATAGAACCACAAATTTTCTCAACTAGAGCAATGAAATTTGAGCACAAGGATTGCTGAGGTAGAAAATTAAAAATAAAATAATTAATTACTTAATTAAAACAATGATATTTTTGTAAATAAGCGAAAATTAAGGGTTTTTTTGTAACATTGCTAATGCTGATCAGAAAAATTTGAAATAATAAACCATGTTGAAGAGGATGAAATAACGAATATAATGGTTCAAACAGTTCGAAAAATAGTGTCGTATAGCAAAAGTTATGGATGTTTGAAGTTCAAGGGCGGTTAATCAGATGGTTATGGTGGTTGGGGAGTTGACTTTGACAAAAAATTTGACTTTGATCAAATTGATAATGAAAATTGACATTAGTTCTATGGTTTAATTTATTTTAATTAATTAAAGCCTTATAAAAATAAATGACTGGTCAAAGTGGGCCTCATCTTAGGAGAGAGAAAACTACAGTTCTATGGTTTAATTTATTTTAATTAATTAAAGCTTTATAAAAATAAATGACAGTGGGCCTCATCTTAGGAGAGAGAAAACTATCAATTTTGACCAACATTATTTTTTGGACTCAATTGTTCCAAATGATGTGTTTTTTACTCTAAAACATATTTTGTTGAAGACTGAAGTCAACTTGAAGTCTTTTAGAAAGAGTTTTGTCAAAATATCACTTTGTCTCCTTTAATTATCGGTTGCTCAAAATGTGTCCAACTGGGCTCAAAATTGAGCACACAAGAACTATTTTGAAATTTTTGACAAGCTGGACACAATGACAAAATCCATTTTAAGAAAATAATGATTTATTGAAATTCTTTTATGTAAGACCATTTTCTTGCATAAAAAGCTTAGTAGATAGCTCTACGTAAGAAAATTGTTTCAACTGATCACATAATAGTTTTTATGGTTTTTATTAGTTATAATAAGCTTCATGCAACATTTAAAATGAGCTATTGAGCCTTAAAATTATCTTTAAAGAGGAAAAAATGACTACAGGGTTTAGAAAGATTTAGCTAAGTGAAGTATAATAAGGCTTCAGGCAATGAAAATGGGGCAGGTAAAAAATGAGGCCAACATATGCACCATAAAGAAAAAGTCCCAAAAATCCATAACCTTTGATGTTGTATAAGAATTACATTATATCTTCCTTTCAATTCTATTATTTTTATTTAAGTAATAAATATATATTATACACTTATGTACATGATCATTTTCTTAATTTTTATTTTTCTTAAGAGTGACATTTGTAGATCATTTAAAATATTACAAATGATCATAATGGACTCGATCAATTGCTTTATTAATAAATTATTCTTTTTATTTTATATCTATATTCTCTCAATAATAAAAACTCAATTGTCTTAGACAGGCCATAATAATCTATAAATATTTGCATACGTATCACTCAATTCTTACGTATTTACATGTATAATGCGTACATCTAAATTTTTACACATAAAAATGCATACTTCAAATTGTTAAGAGTTAAAATTGAGATTTTTTTTTTTTGTGTTTTAAAAAATTTGGTTGGTATAAACGTAAAAAAATAAATTTTAGAGGTTAAATATGTAAATATATAAGAATTTGATGGTATGTATATAAAAGCCTTTATTTTATGTGAAGGTCCACGTATGGTCATCTATAAGAAAATTATTTATTGCTCCCGCATTATTATTTTATTGGAAATTCTTATCCCATTATTGAATTATATTATTTGATTCAACAAAAGAGTTATTTTTATTATTATAAAAATAAATAAGTTGTTGCGTGGCCCACAATCCCGTAGTAATCGAAGCAAATGAGTGATTTTTAATAATTATTTTATAAATTAAAAAAGCTAAATTTAATTAAAAAAATAGGAGAGGATGAAATATTAAAATCATGATTCAGGAATTATCCCCAATAAATCAAATCGAACACAGGAGAAAAATATCTACGACATATAACAGATGAGAGCGACTGAATATAACGCCCAAAGCTCGCAGCTTTGAAGCCCAATTCGACCCTTCGGTTTCCTATGATCGCTCCGGCTTTGACTGTTGTTGATCGGTAAATCTTTCCGAATGATTTTGTTATCCCCTGATCTCGGATCTACAGTGTCAAATATTGCTTTCATTGGCAAGAAATTGAATTAAATTTTATTCCTTTTTTGTAGAATTGGTGAATTTCAGCGTGATTAGGGTTTGATTGCGAAGCTGGTGGGAATCTGGAGCTTATTTTCGTGGTCGGTTCCATGACATTGTTCTGTATGTGCTTTAGAATTTGATTCACGATTCTCTTTTGAGCTGATGTGTTTCAGGTTTTTGGGGCTCGAGTTCTTGTTCAAGGTTACCTCTTTGCCTGTATCTTGTTATCAAGAAGGATCTACTTATCGTTCTCATGTATTGCTGTTTTGATGTATTGATTTGTGATCTTTCTTTTGGCAGGAAGAGCGGCGACGGGATGAAAATTGAAATTTTTGGTTTCCGTTGATCGAGCGGCTCGTGCGCCACTTTATGTTTTAGGGTTTTTAAGGTGCGAGAAAGGCTTCTTCTTTGATCGGGGCCTGGTATTGTGGGCATTTTCTTTCAAGTTGTAGGGCAGAACTCTTTACACCTGAGCAGCTAACTCCATGTCAGGGACTGCGCGCTCTGGGCTTGGTAATGCTGCTTCTGGTGACATGAATCATGGAAACTCCTCTGGGCCCAGCATGGGTGCGAGCTCTCAGGTTACGGATGCCAATTCCTCTTTTTCAGGTGGACCTCAGCTTCCGAGCAGCTCCAGCATCAACGATGAATCCTATATGCATCTTCCAGCCTCACCAATGTCCTCATCCAACAACATTTCGGGTTCGTCTGTCATGGATGGTTCATCGCTTGTCCAGCTTAGTCCCCAAAACGAGCAGATTCAGAAGCAATCTGCTTTGAGTCCTACCTATCAGTCAATGGTTCAGGAAGCTGGAATGTTACCTGCCCATAAGAAACCACGGCTGGATATGAGGGTGGGAGATGTTTCGCAGCAACAGGTTATGCAACAGTTACTACAGCGGCACCAAAACCTTCAACTTCATGCCATTGTACAGCCTCAGAGACTCGCACAGCTGCAGCAGCAGCAGCAAATGATGCAGTCTTTGCCACAGTTGCAGCGAATACAGATGCAGCAGCGGCCCCAAATGCCTATGGGAAGCCCCCTCCAGTTAATATCTCCAGTGAGACCCCCACTTGAGAGCGGCTTGTGTGCTCGCCGACTCATGCAGTATATGTTTCACCAGAGCCATAGACCTGCGGTGAGTTATGAACTTTCCTCTGTTTTTCTTATGAAACATTTCTCGCAGGATTTGGTGTAATTGGTGTTATTTGGTATTAACTACAGGACAATTCTATAATGTACTGGAGAAAATTTGTGGCAGAATACTTTGCGCCTCGAGCAAAGAAAAGATGGTGCTTTTCTTTGTATAATAATTCTGGAAATCATGCCTTCGGTGCTTTTCCTCAAGCTGCTATGGTTAGTTTTATTGTCTGCTATTACATTCAGTGTATTGTAATTCGAATAATGTCATTCTCGCCCTGCTGCCTTCTTATTCATGGAGTTTTATAGTTATACATTTATGCTTCAAAAACTTAAAACTTTTTGCATGAACAACTGGGAAGTATTACTTTTTTGTATTCTGGTTGTCTTGGGTGGCTGATCAGTAGACTCATCAGTTTACCCTGCTTGTACAGGATGCATGGCAATGTGGTATTTGTGGTTCTAAATCTGGAAAAGGCTTTGGTGAGTATGCTTTTCATTGTTTAGCGTATTTACTTGCTTAATTTGTACCATTATATATATATATAGTGAACATGTTATTAGATGTTTCTTTTATATGCATTTTTCCTCATGCTTTGTTTGAGTTGAAAACTCTGTTTTATAATTGCCAGTTCCTAGAAAAAAGATTTTTGTTCTAGTATAAAAGAAAATTCATGTTTTTAAGGTTCATTTTACTCATGTAGCTATTTTTGTGTTTAATTACATATGAAATTTCATCTGTAGTGGAAATATGAGTACGAGTAGAGAAATAGATGAAACATGAAATTGATTTTTGTTTTTAATGTATTATCTGCTGCAGAGAAATAGATGAAACATGAAATTGATTTTTGTTTTCAATGTATTATCTGCTGCATTACACACACACACGCACACGCGCGCGCGCGCGCACACACACACACACACATATATATTGGTCAAAAGGTTAATTCATTGATAAAGAAGTTTAAACATTACATCTAACATAAGGCAGATCAAGTAGATCCCCTTTCAATAAAGGCAATAAAGGAGGAGGAGATTTATGTAATAAAGTGGTTTGAGTTTTAGAAGCAAATTTTGCTAACCAGTCAGTAGGTGCATTGCCTTCTGTGGGGGTATATGACCAGTTAATTTTGAATTTGTCCACCATGTGGTTTAAGTTCCTGATATGATGTATGATTTGCCAATGAACAGCAGCTAGACTCTTGCAACACTTCCATAGATATAGTGAAATCCAACTCAATGATTTGTTGAGATTGAAAGATTTTAGCCAGTTGAAGAGCAACCATCATAGCCTATGCCTTAGCTTGAAGGGGAGAAACAGCCACCACAGTAGAAAAGAAAACCAAAATGACTGTCTTTTGAGTTTCTAAAGACCCCACCAATCCCAGCCTTGCATTAAACTAGCTCCCATCAATATTTACTTTCAGCCATACCTTATTGGGTCTAATCCAAAATACCAGTAGCGGTTTCATTCTGCCAGAGTAGGAAGAGAAGCAGTTAACATCAATGCTCTGGAATATTGCTTTGAATTTTGGTTTGATCCCTGCAAATTTGAATACTTGCTTTGAATTTTGGTTTGATCCCTGCAAATTTGAATTTGCTACACAAAATGACTGTCTTTTTGAGTTTCTAAAGACCCACCAATCCCAGCCTTGCATTAAACTAGCTCCCATCAATATTTACTTTCAGCCATACCTTATTGGGTCTAATCCAAAATACCAGTAGCGGTTTCATTCTTCCAGAGTAGGAAGAGAAGCAGTTAACATCAATGCTCTGGAATATTGCTTTGAATTTTGGTTTGATCCCTGCAAATTTGAATACTTTGTGTATAGGTACTAATGTTTGAAAACACTTTAGAAATAGAGGAAAGACAAGCTATATCTCCATGTTTGACAAAGTTTCTGGCCATCCACAAAAACCAGCACAGCACAATTGGAATCACTTTAATTATAGGGTTGGAATTAGCAGCCCATTTATGGAGCTGAACAACCTGGCAGGCAAGCCATTTCTCCAGAAATTATAAAACTTGCTCCATTATTGGTGAGTGAACTCACATTGTAAGAACATGTGAATTAGAGATTCCTCGTCACACCTACATAGTAAACAGATAGAAGGGATTTTCAGTCCCTTCAATTTGACAATGTCATCTGTGGGAAGCACTGAATGTAGAGTCCTCCAAGCAAAGAATGGAATGGATGGCTCTAATAATTTGGTCCAGAGCCACTCACAGTTATCCTGGGTATGAGATTGAGAAATTCCTTGAGCAATTTTTTTGGTCATAGATATTTGAGCCCCAATTTTAAAAATCAACTCATCCTTATTTTGACTGTCAAAAGTTTATTTGCTGATACCCCTGGCTTCATTGGAGGGAAGGAGCAGATGAAGCTTTAGAAGGTCCAAATGCCATCACTCCATCAATCCTTAACCATAAAGTTCAGATGATGAGGCCCCCATACAGGTCAGCAAGTTGTCCCCAAGGTGAACAATCATCAAACCAGATGCTCAATTTTCCCTCACCGAGCTCCCACTTTATGAATTGTTAAACAACCTCCTTATGTTTAAATATTTGTTTCCAGATAAGAGAATCAGGCAATTGAGGGGTATATACTCTAGGATGCTTGCAAATGCATTATTTCCTCCACATAAGATCAGCCCAAAGTGTCTTTTGTGTCTTGAATTTAATCCATAACTTTATGAAATTGATGTGCATTGAGTCTTCAATTGATCTGAATCCAATTCCACCTTATTGAATTGGCTTGCAAACTGTCCTTCATTTGATCCAGTGAATGTCGAAAGAATTGCCACTTCGTAAGAACCTGTTAAAAAACCCTTTCCAGTTGCTTAATAAATTTGGGCATCTTGGCACTTTGGATGCAGTATAATGGGGTAGTGGTGAGGATACTTCTGAGCTAAGTGAGTCTGCCACCATAGGTAAGGGTAAGAACCTGTTAAAAAACCCTTTCCAGTTGCTTATGATGGGGTAGTGGTGAGGATACTTCTGAGCAAAGTGAGTCTGCCACCATAGGTAAGCAAGCTGTTCTCCCAAGCATTTATTCGACTAGTAACCTTCTGAATCACTCCTTGAAAAAGATAACATTTCTTTCTTCTATTGCTGATTTGTGTTCCCAGATAGATGATAGGCAATGATAGAGCAGTGAAGCCAGTGAAGTAAACAATCCACTTGACCCTGTCAACAGGAACAAGTTTACTGAAATAAATGTCACATTTGGGTTTACTGAAGTTCATACCAGATATCTGTTCCGAAGCTTGAAGCTGACTGAAAAGGCTTCTGACAGCTGATTTAGTGGCCCTGGTGAAAAGGATCATCAGCATAGGCTAAATTAGTTTTAAGGAGGTTCTCTCTGCAACTGTATGCTAGATGTTGGTGAGTATCAAAGTGACTTTGAATTTGTTTAGAGAAATAGTCTATTGCCAGTATGAATAAGCAAGGAGATAAAGGATCCTCTCTGCCTAATTCCCCTGGTAGCTTTAAAGAAACAATGCTGTTGGCCATTGATGATAACTGAATAGTAATTGTTTTCCAATAGAAGTCTTATAAGAGAGCAGAATCTGTCATTAAACCCCATAGCAGCAAGGACCTTGATTATGAATTTCCAAGATATTGAGTCATAAGCTTTTTTAATATCTAATTTAATGATCATGTTGCCTACCCTGCAAGATTTGTCAATATCTAAAACTAACTCTTGAGCAATTAGAGTGTTAACTGTTATGGATCTTCCCTTCACCAAGGTAGCGTGAAAAAGACTTACAATAAGGTTAAGATGTGGTTGGAGTCTTGCTACAATTACTTTACTGATGATTTTAGAGATCACTGAAGTGAGACTTATGAGTCTAAAGTCAGACTACTGAAGGCTTTGATGGGACTTAGGAATCAGAGCAATTGCCACTGATTTGAAGTATTTGTGTATATCCTAGCGAAAGAAACTGAATAGCAGCAGTCACATCCATCTTAATGATAGGCCAACACTTTTGATAAAAAAACCCCCAGAAAAACCATCAGGGCCTACAGTTTTGGATCCATCAATGCTTTTAACAACAATATAAATCTCTTCCTGTGTAGGAATTTCAGCTAGCTGAAGGCCAGATATGTATCTTCTGATATCATGGAAGAACTAATCATTAATTGGCTTATCTTTCACTTTTGTTCCTTTGAACAACTCCTGGAAATAGTTAATGCCATCTTCACTGATTTTCTGGCTGTCAGTTATCCAAATGCCAACTTGGCTTTTGATTTTGCTAATATTATTAACCCGCCTCCTTTTCTTGATAAATGCATGGAAATAAGAAGAGTTTCTGTCTCCATCAGTAAATAAGTGTCCCAAATCTTCTGTTTTTGGAAAGTTTTCCTCAATCCTGATAGCCTCAGTCAAAGAGTCCTGTGCGCAACCAACTCCCCTATCCCAATTAATTCATTGAAAGATTCCTCCTCTGTTCTGTTAACCACTTCTTCAACCTTAGCAACTTTCTTACTAATATCTCCAAAAACCTCCCAACTCCAATTTTTAAGAGCTAAGGCCAAGTTTTTATGGAGCATCCAAAGTCTGATCCAAGGGTTCCCATTATGCGAGCATTGCCAGTTGTTTTCCACCAAGTTAAGAAAGCTCGAGTGAGAAGTCCATACATTAAAAAACCCGACGTGCCCTTTATTTGGTTTTTTTTCAGTCCATACATTAAAAAACCCGACGTGCCCTTTATTGGGGTTTTTTTCCCCTGAAATGTAAAATCATTGGAGAGTGATCTGAGTTTTTTTTATTCAGATGGTGCATTGAAATCAGAATAATGACTTTACCAGAAAGAACTAGCCAAAAACCTATCCAATCTCTGAAAGAGTCTTCCCTTTCTCCAAGTAAAAGTAGAACCAACATAGCCCAAATCAAATAAATTAGCATCATGCTATGCATAGCATCATTAAACATATCTATCTGTTTTTGCCCTGGCGGTCTGCCTCCTTTCCTCTCCACAGCACTGAAAATCATATTATAATCCCCTCCTATAAGCCAAGGCTCTTCACAACTTGACCCAAAACTCCTGTTGAAGTCGCGCAATTCCACTTTATCAGCTTTACAGGTTCCAGCATAAACAATAATGAAATTAAAGGACTGAAGTTCAAAAGTGACCCCAGTAACCAAAAATTGACTAGCAGATATGATGATTTCCACCTTCACTGCATTCTTCCACAAAATCCAAAATTTGTTTTTAGTGTTAGCAGCAAAATTGAAGAATCCAATTCTTATGTCGTATTTTTTGTTATTTTCAACCCTAACCAAGGGTTCTAAATTTGCCAGTAACTTAATTTTTTACTGTTTGATAATATTATACATCATTAATAAAATGTTTAAGAGTTCCCCTTGTCCTCCTGGGAGGGGTGAGCCCATTTCTATCCCAATAGTTAGTTGCTCCATCAACTGATTTTCCAGCTCCCTGAGTGATTAAGTGTTTCAGCTCTCTTGATCCCCTTACCTTCTTCTTTCTACTGTTTTGCATCAACCATTCCTCTTCCATTGCTTCCTGAGCTATAAGTTGATCCTCTTCTTGGAGACTATCCTCTCCTGAAGAGTTAGCAACTTCTTCACCAGTGAAGAAGTCCTCCACATTCTCATAATTAGTTTGCATCTTGTCATTCTCCCTGTCCACCTGTTGTGTACCCACCATATCATTATTGATTTCCACTTCTTTGTCCTTCAACTCCACCTTCTGACTTGCATTTTCTTTCCTTTTAATCACTCTGAAATTGAGTTTTGATTGAATTAATTTGTTGTGGGCTGTTTCACCAATCCCCCTGGGTTGGTCATTATAATTTTCAGGTTGTGCCAATAATATCTCCAC